CGAGCAGTTTGAGCAATTTGTTGCCAGCAAGGCGACAGGTATTGCCATGAAGGCCAAACGAAATGTGGAGGGTGCCAAAGAAATGGGGCTTTCCTCGCTTCTAGTCGGACTCAATGCAAATAACAAAGCAGCCATGGTGCCTCATCTTGTGCTCCCGTTTGGAAATCAAACCTCAGGTCTACGCGCGATGTCAGCTCACTGCACCGAATTCTATGCCAATCTGTACAGTGGCGATAACTTCGTTACCCCTACAGATGGGTTCTATGACCACATTTACCCTTCCTATCTTCCTTCAGCCACCACCACCCGGGTTGCCGCCCCCTTAACTCTTTCGGAGGTCAAGGGTGCAATCTCTGCCTTATCCCTAGGTAAAACGCCAGGCCATGACGGGTTGGCCGGTGACTTCTATCGTGCACACCTCACAAGTCTTACACCGGTGCTTCATAATATTTTCACCACCATTCAAGCCTCGCAAACCATGCCAGGCTCTGTGTTGCTTGTCCGCACGGTGCTCATCCCCAAATGAGCAGACGCATCGTTTGTTGAGAACCTTCGGCCAATAACAATTATGACCTCATAATACAAGGTCCTTGCGATTTGTCTAGCAAAGCGTCTGCAGATCACTCTCAGGCGCATCAAACACAATAAATGACTCAGTGGATCTCATGGAGTGGGCCGAGGCAAAAAACCTCCCCCTACTTATGCTTACCATTGACATTAAAAAAGCATACGATATGGTAGACCGGGAGTTCATGTAACTGTCTGGCCCACCTTGGCATCCCTCAAGAATTCAATACCTGTGTTAGGCTGCTTCGCACTGGAGCCCGTAATTTTTTGTCAACAATCTGGCTGGAAGGTCTATGCCTGTCCTTACCGGAGTCCGTCAAGGTTGACCCCTGGCCCCCCTGCTGTTCATTTGTGTAATTGAAGTGCTACACCGTCACCTCTCGGTCGCCCTACCAGGATTCCCCTTCACTCCTGCCCAGAGACGACTTGCAGCCTGCTATGCAAGTTAATGACCCTATTCCTCAACACCTAAGAGGGGCTCTAGACAGCCATGGCGCACCTTCAATCGTTTGCTGCCGTGTCAGGAGAACATGCCAACTGTACTAAGTGCTCAATCCACCTTCTGCATGTCCCGGCAGAAGAAGTCCCATCCACATGCCCCATCCCCAAACGTCAACCCAACGAGGCGGAAATGATACTTGGCATATACATTCAAAACGACGCACCAGGAACCACTACCTGAGAGAATATCATCACTAAGGTACGATCGTCAACAGGTGTCCTGGCAAAACAGCATGCCAATTCCACTTGCCGCTCGGCCCTGTCATCCGAACACCTAGTCCCGCTCTTTGCTTTCGGGGGATGATTTCAACCGCCCCCCGATGGAGTCGTCAAGCAACTAGACAAAGTGAGAGGCAACTTCTTATCAGCGTCTAAATATAAGGAAGAAGGTATGGCCATCAGGTTCATTCCCAACCACATTCTGTACAATTCACGCAAGGATGGTGGCGTGAGCGATACAACCATCCGCGTACATCCGAGCACTCAACATGCCACGTGCGGCACGGCGTTTTGGTCCCTCTCCGCTGGAAGATATCGCGAGGGCCTGCTCAACCTTACCCTTTGGATTGCATTGCTTTCTTGCAAACGAAGTCGTAGTCAAATTCTTACCGGATACCACCCAGACGCGAGCGGTGGTGGAACTCACAGCAGTAATGGAGCTTAAATGCAAGGTGTTTCCGCCAAGACTAGAGCCATGGGTGCTGATGGCGGAGCCTATCGCATTCAATCGGCACATTCGGTGGACAGACGGGCTCTCCTTCGGCCGCACCAAAGGAGATTGGTTTCTCTCAATTGAAGAAGTCCGACTGGGCAGCATTCTAAAGCAGACCACTGAAGGTGCACGACAGCTTACGGATGCAGAAATCTTGACAAAATACCCCACCTCAGAATACCCTGAGAGACGCAGTCTGCTCGAGGTGATCTATAAGGTCGTACCAGTTGAATGGTGGCCTGTGCTAGATACCTTCACGCCACCAGCCTCCTACCTGACGATCGTTGAATGGGTAATCACGGCTCAGCAAAAGGGACACGGCATTTCACAGGTTTTGCAGGTGCGGGCGCTTCTTCCCAACGGTATGGCACGGCTCAACAGTTTCGGGGTGGACGAGTGTCGGCGTGTGGCTGCATCCCCCTCCGACAGTTGCCTGCTCCCAATCAGCGCGGTTATTCCAGTCTTCGTCACTAACGGGTGGTACGCTGGCACCTACTCTTCAGGAGCTGGCCTCGGAAGCAGATTGGAGCTGCTCCAGCACACTTATACTCTTTCACCATCAGGCGACTCAGCTACTCTGCTCCTCTGCTCAAACAATAACCACCATGACAGATGGGAAGAGATCTTACCTCTTCCCCTGCTGGCCGTTCCTACTCTGAAACAACCCTTTCTCAAGGAGCAACCCAGTCGACAGCGGGACGTAGTACTACGGCTGTATACACTATCTCTCTCATGTGGGGCTCAATTCTGTTTCACCGCCTCGGGAAGAAACTGCCCGCGCTGTAATAACGGCTGAACCGAGACACTGATTGCCCAGTTGCGTGTTTAGGCACTGTTTCAGCACTGTATGCATGGTTAAGATCATTCAATAAAACTTAAAAACTCAAAAACCATATGACAAAACGGAATTATTGGTGTCCCTCGTTCCCTCAGCATTGAGTTCACTCTACTCGGTGGGGTGCGGTTTTCTGCATGTTAGAATGGCTTGTTTGCACCTCTTTACGTTCCAGTAAGGTATCGAGCAATGACGAACTCAGCACACCAAATCAAACAGCTGGTAAAGGTAAAGGTCATTGGGGAAACCCCCTATGGTATTACCCCGGCTGTCTGTCGTAACCCGCCTCCCCATGTGTTTACACGCCTCGCTGGGTAACGAGGTTGTTCTATCCACTCCCAGATGAGCACTTGTGTAGAAGGTTCTATCCACTCCCAGATGAGTAACTGCGTAGTCCCTTTTAGTGGGGATTGGCTGTAAACGCCACAGGGGGGATTAGATCCCGGGACCTCATCTTTCGGAAGTGAACCAGCTAACTAGCTGGGCCACTTCAGGATCAAATCAAGCAGCTGGAGCTCCTCCCCTCACAAGTCTTCTGAAACAAGACCAAAGGCAGCCAAATTTCTTCACTAGAACCATTCCCGCAGCTGAATCGCAATGCTTTTCTGGTATCGAATACCATGGAATGCAAGCTGCTGCGTTTCTCAAGTAGATTGGTCGGAACGGCGATTGGAGTGAAACACGAACACATGAATGATTGCTGGACCATTGGCCCAATGGTCGACGAGCCAACACGCGAGTCTCGCGACGACGGCCTACCTCGGCGCTTACCTCACATAAGCGGGACACTGCGGCTCGTTCAAATCTTCCACCCCCCAAGGCAAGGCTTTTCATCCTCAAATCGTTTATGACAACCGTCACGCCACATTCTTCTCACATCATCAGCCCTTCGTCCCCTCAGCTCTTTCTTCTCTTAACTGAGATTCCTTCCAGATCAGTGATAGTACTTTCTGGTAGGGTTCACGAAGGCACCGTCAAACTCCAGCAATGGCTCTCCCCCGTACTCTGACGTGCCTCCTCATCGTTGCCAGTGAGCCCATGCGCCACCTTTTTCAACCGCAGAACACGCACACAGTCGTTTTCAATCTGCCATTCTTTATTTCGTCTGTACGCGCAGACTGTGACTACATGAGACATCACCCTGGTAAGGTTGTTCTAATGGCCCTCGTTCTCCCTCGTCTCTTCCCCGCCTGCAGCCGTGCTGGTCTCTTTGGGGCTTCCGGGAGCAGAGGCGGCGCTTAGCTTCGAGGTCGCTATGCAGCGCGCCGTTGAACAAGGCCGCGCATTTTTAAAACCCTCCAGGCGCTGTTCTTCCCTCCGCCCATGCCTGCCGCTAGTCAGTGCCGCCTGCCTCCCTTTCCCTAACTCCTGATGTTAAATATTAATGAGGTGACTTTGAGTCAGCTCAACAGTGACCTCATATGCCGCCAGTCGATGCATGCGTTATTTCCCTGATGCGCTTCACGCTCATTTGCTCTGCTCGCTTAGCGTGAGAATTTTATTAACCAAATGCCCGGGATTGCATCATCCTGTGTAGCGTTTTGCTTGGCTGTCTCTCATCCATCCCTTATTCTCTCCGCCGTTTCTCAATGTCGCGTCAAACCCCCCCAATGCGCGGCGATTGCGGATACGAACGTGAAGGGGACGTTCAGCATCGCAGTCCCAATTGAGTAAAGCATCCGCAGTCGCGCCTCCAATGTGGGGTTTACTATGCGCTCTAATCTACAATAGGCACTTTTGCAATGTGATGGCTCAGGGCTTGCATGGCATTTGGTGAGACAAGCCATGGTGTGTGCAAGCAGGCACGGCGACGGGACGCATGATGTGTTTGCCTGCCACCGTATCTCAAGGCGATTGGGAGGTGCAACCATCTGGCTTAGTTTCCTTCCCCTCTCTTCGTGCTCCCGCCTTCTCGCCCTCTCTCACGCACCCCACCTCCACCCCCCTCCCCCACTGGACTTGGGCTTTCTCATACCATCACGTGCCCACCACTTACCCGCGCCAGGTCACCCAAACCAGCTCAACCGAACCAGGCTGCCGAACCAGGTCACCCGAACCAGGCAGGCCCCCAAACCAGGTCCTTGAATGTTCAAATCGATCCGTTTCCCCATACCAACCCACCCTACCTGCCGTCCTCCCCCCCCCCCCCCTCGCCTCTCCATTTCTTCCCCCAAGTGCCACCCATGCCATGACCCACAACCGTTTCAGTTCCACCTGACCACCATGGGCTGTTTCGCCCGCCACTGCGGGTCTCTCGAATGACCGAACTGAACACGCCATGTGCTCTGTGCTACGCTCACCTCCCCTTCAGCTTCCTCTCCCCTCCATCAGTGCCAGGGCAGAGAGCACGCTCATGCAGTTCCGCCTCACCACCTCGAGGCGTTCATGCCACTGCCGATCTCTCGAATTTCCAAGCTGAACAACTCCTGCACTGCGCTCAATCCCCTTTTCGTCCCTCTCCCCCCACTTATGCCCCCCACCATCGCCAGGGCCGAGAGCACGCCCATGCAGTTCCGCCTCACCACAGCAGGCTCAATCGACCCGCCGGTTGAAGTGACTCTGGGTGTGAAAGCCCCCGTCGCATTGGCTTCGCTCGGAAGCAACATGCAGTGCTCGCAAGTCGCGCCGAGCGTGTGGGACTGCTTCGGCCAGACCACACTGACTGAGGCTGACCTCAACAGCGTCGGGTTTACAGCTAGCGTGGGGTCGTATGCATTGAAATTGACGTATCTGGATTCGAACAGGCAGCTCGTGGTGGCCGCTGCGAGATCGGCCCTCGCGAAAGCAAAGCCGACTTTGAAGAGGGAGCAGGTGTTCGGCACGTTTCTTTGCTGTAGAACAGATGTTCTTTGGCCTGACAGATGACCCGTTATTACCCAGTTCACCGATTTCGATCACGTGAACATGTTTTAACAAAATGAGTGCGTGGTCGACTAACTTTTGAATTGGTCGTTGCAGGTAAGCCTGAGCTGCTGGTTGGGGTTCCTGCTGGAAGGTTCCAGGCAGGGATCAACGGCGATAAGCTCAAAGGAGGCGCCATGTTCGCTGTCTCTTCCAATGAGTATTTTTCTACAAAAACCGAAAGACGATCCTAGAAAATGAGCTTTGCGAGTGAATCAGCCCGTGTTCAATACCCGTCTCCTTCCTTCTCCCTCCTCCCTGCTTGTACCTCCTTCCTCCCTCTGCCCTTGTCCCTCCTCCCTCCTCCCTCCTCCTCCTGCCGCCTCCCTCCCCTCCATGAACAGCGAGTACAAGCTCTACGTGACCATCGTGCTGCTCTACCGGGGCACCCTGAAGCCAGCAGCAACGCTCGCCGTCGTCAACGCCACGTCAGCTCAAACCACCAAGATCCTGCTGGACTGCACGTGGACGCAGCCCAGGCCCAGCGTGCAGCTGTGCGAGTGGCTCAATGACCTCCCTGTTACTGCCACCCCCACCCCCACACCTCCTGCTGACTCTGCCCCTACCTCCGCGCCTGACTCTTCTCCCACCTCTGCTCCTGATTCTGCTCCTAACGTTACTCCTAACACTGCTCCAAACTCTGCTTCTGACTCTTCTCCTAACTCTCCTGATTCTGCTCCTGACTCCCCTTTGGATGCGGCCAAGAGCATGCGTGCGGTGGCCTTTCCAGGCTCGCTCACGGTGGTGGCCCTGCCAGTCATGAACATAGTGGTCAAGGCGGTGTACAAGATGCAGGTGGGGTCGGAAGGGGGGGATTCTGCTGAAGCCGTGCTGCACTATGCGCAGTGAAGAACACGCGTGTTTTTAGTCGACTCAACAGTCATGAACATACCGTAGTTGTGAACGCGGTTTATAAGGTGCAGGTGGAATCAGAAGAGGGGGACTCGACCAAGGCCATTCTGCACGATCCCATGTAAACACGTGTGCAGGAGGGGGGTCAGGAAAGCCGCTGCTTTCGTTAGCACTAGGGCTGCATTGTTTGTACTCACCAAGAACTGCTGCATTAGTGGCAGTAAATAAAATAGGGGGTTGCTGCTTCCTCTTCTCCGAACGATGCTTGCACTGCCACTGGGGTTTCTATCCCGGAGATTATGGTACCGTACAAGGAAAAGTGTTGATATCTCTTTCCATGGATAGTGTCAAAACTGAGATGATATCCCCACCTTATAAGGCTCCAGTTGCAGAGGTTGTATTTGGGTCCCACAATAATGCTTTCGTTCTTCTTTAAACTGAAGTGACACATGTGGAGTGGATCTTATTGGCAGTGGCAATCATGACAATCTGTACCGTATGTGCATAGATGTACGATATTTGAGGATATTGAACAAGCAGGCATGCAGACCCTCAGCTTTAGAGCACCAACATGCAGGCTCATCCCGATGAAGCTACAGTACTAGTAGCGAGGTATTTGTGAGAAGGAGTATCCCGGGGCTTGTCTCCACGAGTAGTATGCAATGCGGCTCTCGTAGAAGCCTGCAACATTGGCAAGGCAAAGGAAGGAACGAGGAATGAATGATGCTAGTTATATCGAGTGAAGGAAGGAGTCAGGCGCAGATTAGCAGACACATCAACAGAGAGTTGGGTTGTAAAGACGGCTCTGCAGTGGCTGGCAGAACGGCACACAGAATCCGTTTGTCACTGAAAGGGTGACATCCAGAGGTGATGCATGCATTCAGAGGTGATGCATGCATTCAGAGGTGATGCATGTACGTAACTGCTTCAGATAATGCTGATGCAGTGACTGAATCACAATTTGAGTCGCCTTTGGGAACTATCAAACGTGTCTCAGATGTGAATGGGACAGAGTGGGGATAATGTAGAGTGAAAGGCCAACGACATGATACGCGGAGTGGGAGAAAGGGATGGAGTGGAAGTGGAATCGGGGGTACTGCTGAGATCAAATTTCTGATGATTGCGTGCATGGACAGCGTGAGGAAGGGTCACCGGGCATGAGCGTGAGGAAGGCTCACCGGGCATGAGCGTGAGGAAGGCGATGGCGAGGCACGTCCACTTCTGCTGCGCGCCGGCCTCCACCTGCCCCGTCTGCATGAGGTAGAACGTTGCTAGCGACGCGCACCCCAGGAACAGCAGGAACAACGCGAGCAGCACCGACCGCTTCGGGACGCGTCTGTGGATATCAGGACCGGCGAAGCGGATATCCGCATCGTTGGAGCCTCGCGCTCTTCCCGCGGTCGACGGAGGAGCGGCGGATGCGTTTGCGGCGAAGTCGGGAGCAGCGTCGGAGTCTGACGTCGGGACACGCGCATACCTAACGTGGGGCTGGGAGGCCATCTGGCAGATATTAAAGCCCGCGCCTACAGTGGCAGATTTTCCAAAAATACTGGGCTTAAAAAGTTGTAAGCTAGCTTTAGCGAGAGATGTTTCCGTGGATTTTGGCTGGGCGAAGACGTAACAGGCCACGACGGGAGAACGGTGAGTAAGGAAGGTTGGAAACTGCACGTGGGGGGGAAATGCGCGTAGAGAAGGGGGGAAAATGCGCGGAGGGAGGGGGGGAACTACGGGAGGGAAGGGCGGGAACTGCGCGGAGGGAGGGGGGGAACTACGGGGAGGGAAGGGCGGAACTGCGCGGAGGGAAGGGGGGGGACTGCGCGGAGGGAAGGGGGGAACTGCGCGGAGGGAAGGGGTTGAACTGGGCGGAGGGTATAACAGTGTAGGGAAAGGGGAGAGGCGAGAGGCGGAGAGGGACGGGAGGGACCGAAGGGAAGAGAGAGAAGGAAGGGACGGGAGGGACGGAAGCAACGGGAACTATAGAAGCGACGAGAGCTTTGGGTATGACGGGAGCTATGGGCGCGACGAGAGCTTTGGGGGAGCCAGGAGTGATGGGAAGGAAAGGCGTGATGAGAGGGCTGGGAGGAAGTCGTGACAGTCGTGAATGAGGGCTGCGAGGATCGAGAGGTGGGACCTGGGGGCGCGGTACAATGTTATTGAAGAGCTGTTCAAGAATGGGTCACCTTGAACAAATCTCGGGTCACAAAACTTCAGTTCGGTTCCCTGTGGCGATCCATGCTCACGAATTCGGCGTGTGATCCCGACCCTCAGCTGGTGTGACATGTGTGACGCGTCCTAATATAAAACCTCGAATGAAACCTGTCCCTCTGCTCCAGATTTGCGATGGGATGTGGGATGAACTTAGCAAAATGGCGTCGGCTAGTTTAGCTACACGTTCACAAAAGCGCCGGATTTGCGATGGGTGTCCCGGGAAAAGCTGATTATGGTTAGGCGAACAGCATCTCTTTCTTTACCTCGTGGTTGTGGTTTCCTCGTCGGCATCATGGAGTTCGCACTTCGGTTTAGGGTTCCCGCTGCTCTGCTCAGTCATCGTCACCTTGACAACGCCACGAGCAGCACAGCGACTGACCGCACCGCTAAATCCGCGAACGAAAGAACGATCCAACAGCTAGCAGCTTCACACGTGGACTATACCATTACCGTTGATTTGCACGAACCTCTACAATCAGCATTTGACAAGCTGTTTCAGTCCCACCTGCCGCACTGCTGCGTGCCAACTCAGCAGACACGTCGGCAGCAGGATGACGCGGATAAGGGCAGCAGCAAGAGCGAAGAGAAGCAGGTTGTTCGATTTATGGCTGTTGGGCAAGTGTGTACTTATCACCTTCCGTATCCGCCGAAAAGGCCAGGCTTAAATCAGGTACGCTGATTAAAGTCCTGGCAGTGAGGACAAAATCGGCGACGGGGGGAAATGCAGGGAACGCCAGCGACAGCACCAGCAATGTTGCAACTGACGCAGCTGTCGCTCCTGGGGTGGATGCCTTACACCCAGCATCCGGAGACCTATCGTCGACTCCTGTCGTGAACTCCCAACTCGAGAGCTTACCTTCCCCTGCTCCAGTCTCTGCTCCAGTCTCTGCTCCAGCTCCCGTCCCGCTCGCTGCGCCTGCACCTGCCGCCGCACCTTCCGCTCCCCCTCCTGCCTCTGCCGTGGGCAACGACACAAGAGCAGACAACCGCACTACTGCGTCTGCCACTACCACAGGCACTAGCAGTGGTACCAATGGTACCAGTGGTAAAGGCAGCGGACCCCGCAGCAGCAGCAGCAGCAGCAGCAGCAGCAGCAGCAGCAGCAGCAGCAGGCAGATGGTACACGTGGAGCACGTGCCGCTGGCCCGGCCGCACGTGGTGCACTATGTGGATGTGCACCTGCCGTGGTCGCACTCCCTCTGCGCCTGCTGCCTCTCCCGTATGCTCCGCCCCGCCCCGCCCATCACCTTCCGCATCTCAAGCCTGGCCTCGCTGCGCAAGCACCTGCAGCAGCCCGTGGTGCCCACCATGCCGCCCTTCCGCCTCGCCAACAAGCCCACGCCGCCCATCCTCGCCTACTCCGCCACCGTCCCGCTCTCCGCCCCTCCTCGCCGTTTTCCAGGTAATACCAGCGGCGCCTCTACTGGCGCAGCAGCGGCATCGTTGGCGCAGCAGTATCGATGGAAGGCGGACGCGGCGCCTGTGGTTGCAGCAGAGGCCATGATGCTCGAATGGCTGGCTGAGCCACGCGTCGGCCTGCTACTGGACTTCCAGTAGATACGGCGGCAGATGGCAGAGATTATGCATGTCAATGAATACGCGGCGGCACGCAGAGAAGCTAGCGCCGCGCGGAGCCTGTCTGCTGGTTGTGCTGCTGCGCCTTTTCCTCGCGCCCTGTGGTGGTGCTGCTGGCAGTGCAGCCGGTGCTGGACGCTCTACCGCATGGCCGTGTCCATTGCTGCGTTCCTCGTGCTTGTTGCCAGGTTCCCGCGCTTCGTCACTCTCTGGCGCGCGCACCTGCGCTTCCCTGAGATGGCCTTTTCCGTATTGGCGTTTCAGTTCGGAGCGGGGCAGCAGGTGCAGGGCGACTGCGTGGCGTCGCTGCTGCTGCAGGTGCTGGGAGTGAAGGGCAAACAGCAGCTGGAGACTAGCTTTGCTGCCCGCATGCTGCCGCTGCTGCCGGGGGGGAGGGGCGCGCATGGGGAGGCGGGAGGGGAAGGAGCGAGCCGGGGGGAGGGAAGAGAGGGGAAGGAGTGGAGGGAGGGGTTAGGAGGGGTTGAGTGGGAGGAGTATGTGCGGCGCGTGGGGGAGATTGCCGCCCAGGGAGGGCTGGCAGGCAAGCAGTACCGCTGCTGCTGCTCGCAGTGCTCCAAGGGCGAGAGCACAGAGGGAAGAGAAAATGAAGGGGCCTTGGAAGCCGAAGCCGGCAAGCAGCGGTGGCATGGTGATATCTGGTGCCGACCCCACCGAGTTTGCCCTCAAGTGCGCCACTCTCTTCTGCCGGCCGCAGTTTGCTGTGAGAGCTTCTCTCATCTTCTCCGACTGTGCCGGCAGCCGCGACAAGGAGAGGGTAGAGGACGCTGCTGTGGAGGAGGCACGGAACCGGCTGGCTGCGGAGAAGGGGAGTGTGGAGGGAAGTGGAGTGCAGGATAGAGGGAAGCGAGCAGTGGATTCAGACGCACCAGCATCAGCTCCTGCTGCTCCTGCTGGTGCTGGGTCTGGTGCTGCAGCCAGTGGGTCTGGTGCTGCAAGCGGCGCCGGCCTTGTCCCGGTGAACAGTAACGGGGTGGTGGCACTGTTCACGTACCGAGTCACCTGCCTGCTGTGATGGGTGCGACTCTACGGGTTCAAGGTCAACCCCGCCGACGCCTGCACCCAGCACTACATGAAAGATCCAGGCCCTTCTCTTCCCCACCTAATCCACGACCTCCCGAACCTGATGTTCAGGTTCGGCGCCGTGTCAAAGCCTGCAGGTGCGCCAGGCCTGGAAGGCTCGGCAACGACGGGCTGGAAGGAGTTTCCGGAGGGGGACAGGGCGGCAGTGGCGGCGAATTTGAAAGATCCTGGGGAGTTTATTGGACTCAAGACCTTCCAGGTGGGGGCATTTCATGGCGGTGAGTTGGACAGCGAGGAGATGAAGAAGGAGTACAACGTGAGGGAGCTCAACATGCCATACCCAGGCCCCTCCCTCGCTGGCTCGCCCAATTTCATAGGCACTCTGCGCAACAACTCCAGCGGCCCCTTCTTCCCCACACTGGGTCACCGCGTGGAGGAGTTTCTGAGAAGGTTCGCCCCTGCAAGGCTGGCAAGGGAGGGCAGGAATGGTCCTCTGGCCCGGGCTATCACCTCCTGGGCTAGCTGCATGGACCTGAAGGATCGAACCTGGACTCCTCTGGCTCTGGGGCCGTTCGCAGAGGGCAAGATCAAGCCCATCCTACGGTCCAGAACCGAGGTGGAGATGATTGTAGAGATGATCGCAGGCGTCCTTTACCCCGCGTCGGCCTGCGACCGCTGTCGGTACTGCATCAGTGGGTACCAGGATGCAGTCACTTTCTCCTCACTCGCCGCAAACTTCGCCTACCGCCCCTCGTCCGCGCTGCTGCAGTGCATCCTCTCGCTCTTCCCGCCCCGATCGGCGCGCTTCAGAAGCTTCTTGGAATCCCTGCACGTGGCGCCCATCCCTGCGGTGGTCCCAGACTCGCTTGTGGCGCCGCTGCTGGAAGGCGTGATGGAGGAGCTTCGGGTGTTGTTTCTGTTTTGTGGCATTAAGCTCATTGTGGAGGAGAGGGGGGTAACGAGCATTCTCCAGCCTGTCGGGCAGGACGGGGTAGGGCAGGAGGAGAGGTTGGGGCGGCAGGGAAGGTGGGAGGGGATCGAGGAGTGGAGGATGTGGGAGGAAGTGGACAGCTGGCGGCGGGCTGCTGTTATGGCGTGGCCTGCTGTGGAGGGTCTTGGTGAGGCGGGGGTGGCTGGTGGTGAGGGGGATGGGTTGGAGGAGTGCTGTGCGGCCATGAAGCGCGTGCTACAGGAGGAGAAGGTCATGGCGGAGGCACGTAGGCAAGCGGTGAGTGACTCTGTCGTTGCCGCTGGTGATGCTAGGGGTGGAGATTCGTATGGGGGAGGGGAAGGCCCAGAAGGGGGAGAGAGTGGGGAGGGGCGGGAGGGGAATGCAGGGGCGTGGTACCTGGAGCCGTGGCCGGGGGGGGGTGAATCCTCTGGCGTGTTTGAGGGAGATGCTGCTGGGGGAGACCAGCTACTGCTGCCAGGCTCAGGTGGATGCTGTTGCTGCCAGTGCTGCTGCTGCTGCTGCTGCCTCTGATCAGGGGCGCAGTGGCAAGGGAGGGCGGCGTGTGTGTTCGTGGGCACAGTGTGTCGGGGTGGAAGGGGCGGGGTTGCAGCTCAAGCTATGTTCGCGGTGCGGCAAGGCTGCCTACTGCAGCAGGGAGTGCCAGAAGGCCCACTGGCCGTTGCACAAGATCACTTGCCAGCCCAAGGCCAAGAAGAGGGAAGAGTCTTCATAGATGGGATAATGTGGAGATGACTTTTGAGTTGGCTTAAAAGAAGAAACATAACCTTGTTACAATGTCACACGGCGTCTTTTCTACAAGAAGAAACATTATTGCATGGAGGTTACCTAAACGAGTAGGCAACTACCATATCCAATTTGTGCTCATATCAAAATCCTCTGGATCAGGGCCTCAGAAGTCAGCGAAAAAAAGGTTGATTTAGGTGAAAAAGGCTGAGATTTCAGACCCTTTTTAGAAGTGAGGCTGATTTTTCAGCAATTTGTTGAAAAGAAACAGGAATTTTTAATAGATTTGTAGTGTAAAATGGCATAAAATGGCTGATTTGCCTGATTATCAGGAATACGTTTTGTACCAACTCTGTTTTTTCATCCTAGGCCAAACAAATCTGAGGCCCTGCTCTGGATATACCACCCAAGGGTCTTACGGTATGCTATTGTAAATTCGTTGAAACAATGGGGGTGGTTCTTATCAACAGATAGAAATTTATAGCAACCGGGTAAAATCGCCTGGCATGTTCTCTGAAAGGAGTTCCCAACCCTAAATTCAATACTGGAGTTGGGGGTTTACTTGGAGCTGATCAGCCATGGCGGATTCGTCGCCCGCAGGCGACGGCCCTGTTTCCAACGCTGCCTCGAAGCCAGTCGCCCTTGCTGACCTTGACTTCTTACGACGAGCTTCAGCTGCTCCCGCGTTAGTCTCGCCATCAGTTCGGGCCGTTGTTCTCCCTTCCTCGGGCCCCGAGGCACCTACCATCTGGACGCAGAGCGAGTGTTCGACGCATGTCGCCGCTGCCGCATCACCTCCTGTCGCTGCCGCATCAACTCCTGTCGCTACCGCATCAACTCGTGCCGCTTCCGAACCCACACGGAACCGTCATCCTATCGCTGCCGGATCTACTCGCGTCGGCCCACGTCTCAAAAGGGGTATCAAAGTGAATTACCTCCAGGCGAAGATCTAGTGGGGTGCCAGTCAGGCTACGCCAACGTCTGTTGTAGGGAACTCCTTCCCGAAGGCCCAACATCGTAAATTCAAGGGGAAAGCAGTTGAGGCTGCTTCTGAAACGGAACTGCCCGACATAGTCGAGGAGAAATATCAGGTAGCCTTATTTATGTACAACAAACAGTGGTCTGGCGACTACCCGTGGCTTGTTTTGTGTCAGACGAAAGCCGGGTTCCTGTCAATGAAGTGCACGGTCTGCATTGCGCACGGTGGTGTGGGCACGAACTTCGGCGCCAAAGGAGAAGGGGCGACCGATGTGCAGACCCAGGCAACGCGGAAGCATCAGCGCACAAGGAAGCACCGCCGAGCTCTGCGTAGACAGAGGACAGCCGAGGCAGCGCTCAAGGCTAACCGCCGGATCGACGACAACCCGTAGGTGAAAGACCTTGAGAAGGAGCGCCTGATCGGGCTCTTTGAGACCGCACTCTTCATCGCTAAGTCCGATGCCCCGATCGAGATGTACGTGGACCTCGTCCGACATCTGGCGCAGCGTGGCACACCCGGCTTCCCAAAGAGCGGTTATGGTGCCTACTACACGACGTAAGTAACAGTGCTCTAGTACATATCTGTGCAGAGTGTCAACTATCTCAGTCTATCACTAACCACATGTGTTGATGCCCGTGCAGGTACGGCTTCGAAGAGATTACTGCCGCAATAGCGACATACCTTTGTGCGCGCCAGAGAGAGTTCATTGACTCGAGTCCATACATTGGTCTGAGCTGCGACGAGAGTACAGACCGCGTCAAAGTGAAGCACATGATTTTGTTCGTAACAATTCTGCGTGAGCATGCCGTCGTCACCGAGTTTCTAGCTAACCTCTCCATTGAGAAGTGTGATGCATCATCTCTTCATGCTGTGCTCAAAGGATTCCTAGACAGTATCAGTCTGCCGCTGGAGAAGGTGGCGGGTATCAGCACCGATGGGGCTCCTATAATGATCGGCAATGACACTGGCCTCGTTGGGCGTCTTCGACTGCACATCCCGCACGTGGTGGCCTCTCACTGCATCGCACACAGGTAAGATGTTGCTGTTTGGTGTCGTTGCTGTTTGATATGTGGAACTTGATATGTTGCTGTTTGAGTTCTAACCGACCGACTGTGCTATTGTCCCTATGGCAGGGAAGCGCTAGCTGCAAAGGATGCGGCTAAGGCACTACCAGAGCTTGGCATTATCGACGCTGTTATCCGCTCAGTGGCGGCAGATCTAACAACTCCAACCTCAAGTTCAAGGAGCTGCAAGAAGACTTCACTCATACCAACCTCGAGGTCCAGGGGATCCATTCCGTCCGCTGGTTGAGTCACGGCGACGCAATCGCACGATTCGTCGGCGTTTTGCCTGCTGTCATCGTTCTCCTCGAGGAGTCTGACGCGACGATGTACCTCCTAGTCACATCGTTCAAATATCATTTCTTCCTGTTCTTCCTGGCATATGTGCACACGGCACTCAACGCGCTCAACCTGCTATTCCAGGAACGTCATGTGAGTTGTTGTGCTACGTTCTGCTCCCTTCTATTACTGGTCAACCTGCTATTCAACCTACGTTCTTCTCCCTTCTACTTATCTTTTGTTTCCATGTACCCTTTCTCCCTCTACCAACAGGTTGACCTCACTGCAGTGCACTCCCTGTTATAGTCACAATAGGCTTGAATGTGCCTAAAACGAAAGATAGAGAGCACAGACGGATTTCTGCACAGCGGCTTCAAACGTTGATAGCGTTCTGCTCACAGCTGCAAATGACTTGATTCAAATTGGATCTGGAGCGTCTTTACGTCGTCTACAATTAGCAATTTAGATTGCACGATTTGATAAAGAATTGACGACACAGCGTCAGTTTGAACGAACGGTACTATGGCAGCCACTATGGAACACAAGATAGGAAGAGTTACGAGTTGGGAATGACTCCCAGCTCCTATAAACCCCAAGAGCCGAGGTACAGTGATGTGGAACAGTGCCACACTGTCCCCAACCACGAAGGGTCTCGAAACTACCCTTCACTAGGGCCTACACCAAGTGAAATGTTACACTACACAAAGTAATGTAACTATCTTCAATATCTTGAGGTGTACCCTTTTGGCAAGCTTCGAAATCACTTGAGGCTTGACACCAAAGCTCGGGCTCTTCATCACAAACTCATCCTTGAGTTCTTGATGGGTCTGCTGCACACACCTGCGACACGCCGAACGTTCGACACAGGACAAAATAGAAACCGCGCACGACAAAATAGAAACCGCGCGCGAGACACAAACGACCGCGTAACACGCGTCTAGCGATAACTCGCTATTGACTCGACACACACACTCGACATCATGACTCAACATTCACACACAATTATAAGCATGAAATATATATTATCCCATGCCCTCATACCATTCCATACACACACACATTCACGCACACGGACAACAAGCCGAGTGCAAACCGTAGGGTTGCACCAACAAAGTCCCCCTCGGATTGTTGGCCTTAGGATATGTTGCTCTCTCAGTTCAGAGCCATCCCAGCCAGCTTGCAACACTTCCAATGCTGCTGCTCCACCAGCCTCTTGGTCATCATGTCAGCCGGCTGCCCCGTGGTCTTCACGTAGCGCAACTCAACTTCACCCGCGGTTACCATGCTCCTCGTCCAATGCCACTTCACCCTCATGTGCTTCGTGAGTCCATGCAACACAGGGTTCTTAGCAAGAGCAATGGCACCCTGGCTGTCACAGTACAGTGGGGTAGGTCCTTGCTGCTCCTCCCCCAATTCAGCCAACAAACGCCGCTGCCACACAATCTCCCGTACGGCACGGAAGAGTGCCATGTACTCGGACTCCACCGAGCTCAAAGCTTGGTCAACCTGCTTCTTGCTCTCCCAAGCAGTTGGGCCTCCACCAACACAGCATATGAAGCCTCCCACACTTGTCATGTCCTCTGGTTCTGATGCATATGAAGCATCCGAGTAGGCGGTGAGGAACAAACGCCCGGGTTCAACACCATCCGCGCCCTTTTGGCGCCTTTGTGCCGCCGCCGAGTATTGCAGCCCAACGGTCGGTGTTTGGCCAAGATACTTGGCCACCCTCATTCCAGCTGCTACCTGCTCCTCATTAGGGCATTGCACAACCCTAGCCAGCTGCCCGGTAGCAAACGCGACGTCCGGTCGGGTGTTTACCGCCGCATACATGAGGCTGCCCACCAACGAGTGAAATCGGCGCCTCTCCTCTTCACCAACGCTCTCCTCCTCTGGTCCCTTCACACACTTGAACCCAGAGGGAAAGGGTGTAGCCACATGGCCTTCACTCTGCCCAAAGTTGGCAGCCAATGCCTCCAGGTACTTTCGTTGATGCACCCGCATGCACCGCTTCTCCACATCTCGTTCGATGTGGAGCCCAAGGTAGAAGCTCACGTCACCAAGGGCCTTGCACTTGAACTTGTCTTGAAGCTTCAGCATCACCTCCTTCACAAGGTCAGAAGAGGGTGAGAAAATGAGGATGTCATCCACATAAACCACCATGAAACTCCTCTGCTCCCCCTCGCCAAGCATGAACAAGGAGTGATCGGCCGTTGAGGGAGTGAAGCCGATCCCCTCCAACACTTCGCGCAGCTTCATGTACCATTGCCTAGGGGCCTGCTTCAGCCCATAGAGGGCCTTCTTCAGCTTCCACACTCTGCCACTACCATCATCAAACCCTTCTGGCTGCGCCATAAAAATCTCCTCCTCAAGGATGCCGTTAAGGAATGCCGTTACGATGTCCATTTGCTTTACTACCCATCCTTTGATGGCGGCTCCCGCGAATAGGGTTCGCAGCGTCGTCGGCTTCACCACAGGGGCAAACAGCTCCTTGAAGTCCACCTTCTCCTTCTGCTGGTACCCCTTGACTACAAGCCTAGACTTGTAGCGCTCGATCTTGCCGTCGGCATCCGACTTGATTTTGAAGAGCCACTTGGACGTTATCGCCGTACGCCCCTCCGGTAGCTCCACCAATTCAAACGTGTCATTCTCCTCGATGCTCTTCAGCTCACT